CGACCCGCCAGCCCGCTACCCGGCCAAACCGACTCGACCGCTGACAGCCGCCATGCCGCCCGACACACCAGGCCGCCGCTCCGTATCCGGCCACACTGACGAAGAACCCGTCGACGCTACCGCTACGTGCCACGACCTCTTTTGTACCCAGCCGTGCTCCCGTGAACCAGGCCTGCTATGAACTTGCCATTTGTCTCAGACATGCAACCCTGCCCAAGACCGTCAAGACCATGCCATGCCGTCACCTTCCGGCCCGAGCGGACCGTGCCACGTCGCCGCGTCCCGACCGCCGACCGCCTGCGGAACCCAGCCCGATGACTCCAGGCAGCCCTCGTGTCACAGACGACCGACCCCATCATGAGTAGGAACTGACTTTCTAACATGACGTGACCTGCTAGATCTTTGCTGCGAACTCTCTACCCACAGAACTTTCTAAGACCTATGAACTCTTGTGGTGTTGACTTGTTGTTGCACAATATGTGATGTTTTCTATGTTTGCCCTTGCTCGCACGCCTACGGGAAGCGACCAAGCCGCATTGAGCCTGTGTATTTTTGTATTACTTGCGAAATATGATGCTTGCCTAGTAAAAAGTCTACGGGACGACACTGCAAGGAAGATCATTTTTGCATTCCCGGATCACACTGTAGCTGTGTGACGGTCCGGAAGTCCCCGTACCGCCCCACGCTAGGGAGTACGCGAGGAAATGCGAACTTTGCCGAACAACAACAGCGGGACATCCGAAAGTACTCCCTACAGAACTCCCTAACATGGGATACATATGTTAACAATAGTTGTAAATGTGTCTATGAGAATTGATGAGCCAACATATTTCAGAAGAATCTATTGCGAAATAGAACAATGGATTTGTAAACAGATTGGATTATGTAACGTATTTAGCATGAGTAGCTTGCAGGTGAGGGCACATGCTTAAGTAAGGGGGGAGGAATGTAACAATATGTATATTGTTAGTATCAAAGCATTTGTATATTATCGCCGGTTCTATCCCCTCCCTTGGGCGGTGCCGCGGTTGCCTGTTCGAACACGTGCCAGCGCACGTGCCAACGTCGTGTTCGAACAGGTGATCTATACCGGTACCGTTCGAGGGAAGGGGCTCTAGAACCGGCCGGTTACAGATTGAATAAATGAGTTGAGATCAAGCCATTGACGAGTTCAGACGTGCGCCCTTCTTCGTCCTGTTACATTAGGAATCTAAGTTCTACAAGAAATATACAGAAGAACATACACAAATAACGGCGATTACAAGTCGGCAAAAATAAAATGTGGTCTCATGTGCGTCTTACTCGATTTCACTCAATCCTGCCGTCTCGGATGAGAGAAATCACCAAAGAAAACCATACACTTCAAACAAGGTAAGTAACAAGGTAAGTAACAGTTTTAAGTTTACAAAAATTGATATTACTTAACATATACGGCGGGCGAACAAACATAAATAACACTTGAAAACACGTGCACGCGCCGCTTCGATTACTATTTACTCATTTTACTGGCTGCAGTTGACTATTCTTCTGATTCGGAATTCTTTCTGATGTCAGTTCAGTTCATCAGATGATTGTTCACATTCACAATGAGCAACAGAATGAAGATGACACAGATTTTGACAGCAGGATATTTGCTAACAGCCCGCAAAGTTGACTAAACGCTACTCATTTGTAAACAACTAGTTACTAGTGGGGCCTTATCTCGTCGGCCGCCTTTCAACTTTGTACGTGCCGCGGCTTCCGCCCCAGACGGCCTCACTTTGCCACGCCCCTATCACGCCCTGGGAACCACGCCGCGGTCGGCGGCTCTTAATATAATCTAGTTTAATTTATGGTGTTCTAAACTCAACTTACAATATTTTGCGTGTCAAACTCCTATCCTCTGGCAATATTTCATTTCAACATGTCCTCACTAATTATGCAATTTACCTCTATATTAACATAATATATGCATAGTGCTGTTAACATTTATGTAAAGTACACATGTCACAAGGTATAAAATTGCCATCATTCACCATTAAGAAATCATAGAATTTTTGTATTGATTATGCAAATTAGGTCATCATTTGCATAATTAGTATCTTTGTGTTCCATCTGCCATGTATGAAAGTACTATAATGTAAAACACTGTAATTATAGAATTTCCTCATTACCTCCAAAATTGAGGTGTGTCTGTGTGTGTGTGTCTGTGTGTATGTGTGTGTGTGTGTGTGTGTTTCTGCACATTTGTAGTCAGCATAACTTCATACCGCCTTTATGGAAGTTCCGATGATTGACGAAGAACTGGTGCTGGCTAGAGTCCGGGTGCATCGCAATGTGACTGTATCAAACTGGTCTTAGCTTGTATTTATATATCTACTGTACAAAACTGATATACGGTGTCTAAACGTGGTTTACTGGTTGTGCAAAACAAACAAACACAAGAGATCTCATACCTACATGAAATATGGGCTTGACATGTAAACGTATTCTTTAATTATGCAAATGACCTCTACATAAACATAATAAATGCACCGTAATGTTAACTTTTTATTAACTTAATATGAAACTCCCATCATTTACCACTAAGGAGTTATAAAATTTTGAGATTGATTATGCAAATTAGGTCCATACTTGCATAATTGCTATCTGGTGATATTCCTCCTGCCACAGATTATGAACATTACATGTATCAAACAAAATCCCATGATGTAAAACGCTGGAATTACACAATTTCCTCATTAATTATGCAAATTAAGTCATCATTTGCATAATTTGCATCCAATAATGTAGTCTGTAATCTCTGTCTAAGCTAACCACATACCAAAAATCAAGAAAATACATTGTTCCTTTGTGAATTTATCTGCTCTGAAAGGTTTCGCCAGAAACCCCCCTGCAGTTCCAGAACAAGCTGCTAAGGGGACCAAACCCACACCACTTATTACTGCCAGGAAAAGCTATCCATCACTCAAAAATCAAGACCATAGCATGTCCAGGACAAAAGATACAAAAAACGGAAGTTGTGCTGCAGTACCAAGGTCAGCCACCAGGAGGCCCATATTTGACCTTGACCTTTGCCTCCCCAACACCTACCCACATACTAAATATCATTACAATCCATTCAAAGGTTCAGAAACACAAACACACACACACATACGTACAGACACACACACACAGACACGCCAAAAACAATACCATCAATTTTTCATGGAGGTAAAAATTGTCCATTTCATACAGAATGGTCCTTCTGTTAATGCATAAGCAGGACCAACTCTTGAGAAATGGTAGCAAAAAGGTGTCAGGAAATGACCTGCTGGACCAGCCTGCCATGCACAGGGTGTGACGGCTAGACCAGCCTGCCACGTACAAGACCTGACAGCTAGACCAGCTTGCCACGCACAAGACCTGACAGCTAGACCAGCTTGCCACGTACAAGACCTGACAGCTAGACCAGCTTGCCACGTACAAGACCTGACGGCTAGACCAGCTTGCCACGTACAAGACCTGACGGCTAGACCAGCTTGCCAGGTACAAGACCTGACAGCTAGACCAGCTTGCCACGTACAAGACCTGACGGCTAGACCAGCCTGCCACGCACAGGGCGTGACGGCTAGACCAGCCTGCCACGTCACAAGACACCAAGCTATTGCTGTCCCACAAGTGTAACACAAGGATAGCTACTGAGCAGAGCTATCTTACTGATTACTTGTGGTTGGGGTGACAACTGCCAAGAATGATGTAGTATGGCAAAGAAGATTAAAGATGCTAGAGCTGGGTTCAGTTGTTAGTTCGTCAAGAAGGTCATGTGTTAGGACTAGTTAGGCACATCATATATGTGGGCTGTCTATTTTCTAACTGGTCATAACTCGCTGTGCATTGGATTAGATGTAACGCAAGGTTAGTGACACGGCCACACTTCGAGGTGTACCAGCCAAAAATCAACGGTCGTGAGCAACAAAGAATAACATGAATATGATCCTTATATGTGTCTTTTATTTATTCACTGGATGGGAGTAAGTTTGCATTCAGCGACACAGCAGAGTATCTTCCGATATGACGGGACAGCAAGGTAACATGGACTTGGACGCATGTTGTGTTTTTCACATAATACAATACTCAACATTTCGTCGATTTTTTTAAAATCACAAGAATGCTAGGAAATTGTAACAATAGCTAGCATCAAACCTGGCTTTCTTATCTCAATGATCCATGGTGTTGTGAGGTATGAAACTTTCAAACACCTTGATATAAATGAGAAAAAGTACAGCGACAGTTGTCGCCGACTAGCGTTTTTCGAACGCCATTTTAATCATCATCATCGTCGCATCAGGTGACGTCACCGTTTTGAACTGCAGAAAGGTTTATAAAAGTCGCACTGTGGCGCTGTTGCACATTAATTTATGCAAAAATGCCAAAATGGCTTCCTGCGTCCGTAGCGAAAAGTTTGCTCGGGTTTTCACGACGTTCCGCTGTGTCTGGAGGGGCATAGACGCTTGTTATCTATTGCAACAGTTTTATGGAACATCTTGGGCCATTATGTCACGTTCTACTGAGGGAAAAAAGCAGGTCCAGCCTCATTTAGCACCACAGCGCTACTGCATGCGACATTGGGCTACACACTGACATTTTACCGGGGTTTGTTGTTGACCACTTCGCTATTCTTTTGCAGAAAGTGTTTGTTTATGTGCGCTTATACGTAGAGCACTACAAGGACAAAGGTCCAAGTGACCGTTAATTGGTCACCCTAGAGCAATTCTCCACTGTTAACTACTAAATAAATAAAAGCTGGCACGGCACAAAAAAACGCAGGGAAGAAATGACACGGCACACACTTCTATAACCGACGAACTACTGTTTCTTCACATGGGTTGAATATTTAGTTCTGCCCATGCGTTTTCACAAAAAATGGAATTTTCCATAATTCGACCGTAAACTGGTAACCTTGCGTTATCCTAATGATATTTGGTAGGTAGGTTGGGGTTTCGATAGCCTGACTGAACCTCGCTTTTCGTCGGCTCCCTGGTGGCGGACTATGTAGGGAGCCCCCTCCCCCCAAGCTTGCCCACAGACTAGGGTTTCGACAGTAAAGGTCAAGGTCAAGGTCAGAGGCCAGTCCCATTACACTTGACATGCAAAGGAATAAACAGCTTACTCTGGTACTTTATACTAAAACCCATCTAAAACCCGTCTAAAACCCATCATCATAATAGCAAGGTGACATTGACCAAGCAGAAGTCAGAAGAGATTAGTCACAATTTCATATTGGTTATGATGCCGTAATGTCATGGAAGCATGATACAAGTGGTGAAAAATCATCATAGGTGGTCCTATGTTGTGTCATAAAGGACAATTTGACCCAAATAGAACAAGTAAAACAATCACAAGATCACATCCGACTTCTAATAACAGGGCGCCTTGCACAAATTTGATGACAAGGTGGGACACAGTTTACTTCAGAAGAAATCATTCGGGCTGCTGTATTAAAACTTTAGAAAGGTGACACTCTGTAGGAAGAAAAAGTGACAACTTGCGCGCTGGGCAAACTGGCATCTCGTAAGCAGGGCTCAAAATTCATTTTTGGGAATAGGTGCACTGGTGCACCCAACCTAATAAAGTGGGTGCACAAAAAATATTTTAGGTGCACCATTTAAAAAATATTGTCAGCAAAAGCTACATGGATGTGTAATGTTTCATTCTAAAGAAAAGCAATAGCAATGATTTTATTATTTTTCTGACATTTAGATGTTAAGAATATGTTGCAGTCTGCAATACCATTTAACTTTAAGTAACACCTTAAATGGCTTACCATTGATATATGATAATAGCATGTGACACTTGACCATTGATATATGATAATAGCATGTGACACTTGACCATTGATATATGATAATAGCATGTGACACTTGACCATTGATATATGATAATAGCATGTGACACTTGACCATTGATATATGATAATAGCATGTGACACTTGACCATTGATATATGATAATAGCATGTGACACTTGACCATTGATATATGATAATAGCATGTGACACTTGACATGGTGCCAAACTACAAACATCAACACCATCAATACATGACTCAGCAGCTAGTTTCACATCCTGGACTTTTACTCACCTGATCACATTCCGCATCGCTGGGTAGCAAAGGTTGTTTGTCAGCCATGACTCATATGATCAGGCCCCCAGGGCTGGATCTGGAGAAAACAGGAACATCAGCAACATTATCTACGGTGGCCAAACTCCACAGACCAATGATCCACCGGCACCCCTTTTTGAACCCGCGTTGTAGGGACTACCGTATCATGTTAAAAATGATAATACATAATACAGGCAAGCTTCACTTTCAAACAGTGGATGAGACCTACAGTTAGTACTACACATTTACTGTAACTGTTGGCGTCAAGGGGTCATAATTAGTGACGTCGTCCATCATCGTCAAACTCGTAATTTTGGTGCAAAGCCGACGGAAAGAACTGTATGTCTTGACAACAACAGGCTGCATGCAACTTATGCTGATTTTGGCCCACGTGGCCAAAAGTTTCGCGCCAAAATAGTCCCTGGAGGACCACCCGCCTGCTGTAACTCATAACAGATGGAACGACTCGGTTTGTTCTAGACTGCCAAATCTGGCGGCCCCGATCCGACAATCGTAAGTACAATAACTTAACGTTACATGTATCGCACATTCTTGGCTATTAACAGAGATGTTACATGGTTTAAAACGCCATTAGGATTCATATTTACGCCCCACTTACTTTCAAAACCGCTGAAGGTGGATCGCTCACTCCCGCGATTTTAGCACAGCGGACCCGGTTCAGTCAACATCGATGCCAGCTTTACCACACAGCTTTGCCAGACACTATAGCTCAAGTCCTCAATGCTACTATAAGACACTGTAACGTTAACTCCGGATCTGGTTTATAGAAAGAAAATGCCCGGTCTCCCTGCAGTCTGGGCGCGACATTCGGGCCGCCCTGATGAAGGCGCTACCGAGACTGAAAAATGCCTCCCTCTCTTTCCAACTAGCTTTTCACCCCTTTCAATATCATCAGACTGTCAGTCAAGTGACGTACCGAAACTTGTCGCCCGGGGAACCGCCACGTGGACCAATAGTAGCACGGGATAATGACCGACGCGACCTGGGAATTCCAGAGGAATAGTGTAATGGTTTCGTACGAAACTTCTTGACTACATACGCAGCAAAAATCTTTATCAGACGTCCAAAGTCCGCTATTTGTTTGTGTCGACACAGAGCAGTACTTAACGTTATACCACAAAATTTGGTGGTCACCTTTTTGTTGCATAGTCCATACAAATCCGAAGGTAAGGGAATGGGATACCAAGGAGGTTAACCTCCTTGGGATACCATCGAAGCTAGCGTTCATGGTTTAGGATTGGAACGCGACAGAGACCCTTCCAATTTGATGATGTCACTAGGATTACATACAGGGAGCCTATCTGGCAGATATCTACTATATGCTGAGAAGTTTTGTTTCATTTTTAGTAATACAAGTAGTCCAACAAGATTTACTTATACATGATGTACCTCAGGAGGCTTTATCTTTCCAGGCAATCTTGTTTCCAAACCTGTTTACAATTTTCTGGTCACTTTATGATGTTACTAACAGTTTCATAACTTTTTCTTTCAGATTTTTGGCCAATTCAGAGCAGTCCTGTCGCACTACGTACAATGAAGTGCCTTGGCTGTAAGACAGAGAAGCTGTCAAAGGAGTTTCCCTCAGTCACAATACTGGACTTATGTTATCATCCACCTCTTCACTGCTTCAGGGTGTGTACATAGCATTACATTAGTTTGACCTGTAAGTTGCCAAGTTCGTTTGTGCATGTCTTTATGCTGATCTACTTTTCCTACTGTGGTGTTACTTACTATAAATAATCCTATGGTATGGTATACACCAGGATTCATGGTCTTCAGAGGCTCCTGATATCAATGTTAAATAATTGTTGTGTTCCGATTTTCAGTGTCTGATCAAAGTTGTTGAGGAGCAGAAGAAATGCCCTCACCCAACCTGCCAAAAGAAGGTACCCGGCGACTGTGCAAGGCTGAAAGAATTCCAGGCAACAGTTAACCGTCTGTTTGCAGAGTACACCAGTACCTCTACTGTGGAGTACACTACTGTAAGCAAGAAAGACACACAAAGTTTCACTACAAAAGTTTTCAAAACTCTCATACCTAACGGTTACATTTAAACTTGTTTCCCCTCCCAGTCATGCCAATTTAAAGGTTTTTTGGGAGTGAACCTATTGAAATTAAGTCACAACTAGAGAGGCCGACATTTGCTTGGGAGCAAATACAGCATATTTCAGTCCATCTCCCTCCCACGCAAAAGTGGACTATTCCAAACTTACCCCAGTGTAAAACTGGCAAAGATTCTCAAATAAATGAATTATATAGTAGCCATGTAATTGAGAACAAAGATGCAAGAACAAGCACATTGAATCTCGAAAGCTTTACTAATCTTACAGGTATGCAAATACTAACAATGATGAGATTTGATACATTTTGAAGGTCTTAGGCACATAAACTTGAATGTGTGGGTCATTACGCACGACTTACGTGCAATGTGACCTCAGGTAACCCGCAATGGAACACGTGTTCCATGGCCAAGGGCAAATGGTATATGCCATTCTTTAGATAGAACATGGAACGGGTTTAGCACTTTTGGCCCTTTTTTTGCTGAAAATAGCCATTTAAGTCCCCCAAATGAGTCATTTGAAAGTGGTGTATGCCAAATATGTGACTGTTGTTCTGTAGACACATGTTCATGGTACCCTTATACCGAATTTCAGATCATTTGGTTGTAAAACCAGGGCTCAGGATCCAAAAATCCATTTTTTGGCGAAAAATGCCCCAAAAAACGTTCATAAAAATTTTTCAAAGGCATGTATCAAAAAAATGAAAAAAAACACCTGGGGGTATTGGCCCACTCTACCTTCATGCCAAATTTCAAGTCATTTGGCTGAATGATCATGGCGGAGTTGAATCCCTCTGACTGTGTGGCAGGAGGCGAAGGAGAAGAAACATCAGAGACAATATAAATATTGATATCATACATTTGTACCTTGGTCTGTTTTGACTAAGATTGGAATACCTACATGTAAAATCTCACCACACATGCCAGAGCTTATTTGGGTAACCATAACCTTTGAGATGGTATCTTTAGACAATTAATACTATGCTAATTAAGTCCTTTGACCTCAAGTTTAACATAAAAAAAAATTCAGCTCTCACACTACTGTGACATCATGGAACTTTCCTGGGTGAAATATTTGCATGAAGTCTATGTAATACTAATACTTCAGAGGGTTTCCTTAAATGTAATATGTTTCAGAATCTATTAAATCTGTTTTCCAGGCTGCAGCTGGAGCATCAGGAGGACCACAGGCCATCTCTGTGGCGATGATGAATGGAGAGAGCATCAGCCTGTCCTACAGTCCTTCAACAACAATTCATCAGATAAAACTGGGAATCCAGCAGAAGCTGAAACATGCTGAGGAGAAGCAGCGGCTCATTTACAATGAAGAGGAGTTGAAGGTACACAAACAAGACTGCAAATGTTTGTTGAAATTTTGTTGTCAAATATCTATATTGTTGCCGTTGTATCTTCCTCATGTTTCATGGCAACTCTTTTTATTATATACACTGTTCAATGAGCTTCTTCCTTATCATAGCATACAAGTTTTGCATAATGGACGGATTTGTAAACTAAGACATTGCAATTTTATATTCATAACTAGGTATGATTGAATCATCAAGTTGTTTTATTATGCAGTTACAAATCAAATTTTGGTATTATATGCATGAATTCTGTACATTCAATGTTTTACTACAGACCTACATGGGCAGTGGAAAACTAGCCACCATGGGTGACTATGGAGTACAGCCACACAGCACCATCCACCTGATCATCATGCTGTATGCCATCCCTGATCATTTCAACCATGTCATCTTTGATCTGTTCTGGGGATATCCAAGTCATGGGTGTGACTTCTTGGATGCCTCATGCTTAATTTTCAGTGGTACATCATTTGTGGCTGTTGTAGATTACAGACACAGATCCTACCACAGTGGTGTTGTCCGTCACTCTGGAGATGTTATGGATGACTATAAAAGGAAAGGCCATCACACTATTAATGTTAAACTCAAAGAAATACCCTCAAATGTCACTCACATGTTCTTCACCCTAAGTGCTTGGGCCTCCCCAAACATTTCCAAGTACCCCAACCCCAGCCTTAAGTTCTTTGAAGCCTCCAATAAGAATAAGCAGTTGTGCAGTGACGAGATGAGCCATGCTGCCTATTCCCAGGCCATTGTGATGTGCTCTGTCTCTCGTAAAACTGGGGTGTGGAAAATAGACAGTTTGGGAAAGTTGTCACAAGGAAATGCAGTGGACTATGGCCCTTTGCAAGCTACCATTCGCAAGCTGATTCAAGAGGGTGTGTAAGAGCATACTGCTGTAGCTGTTGTTCCTTTCACAGGTAGGAAAACAAGAAAACTGTCAGACGTTTTGGAGGGAGAAAAATGGAGAAGGAAATTTCCTGTATCAATGTTATTGTAATACTGCTCCTGTGGCTATTGTTAAATAATGAGCAGAAAGACAAAAACCTTACCAAGAAGCAAGTTCTGGTATACTAAATTAAAACGATAATTTAGAGGGAAAGTACAGACAAAAAGTAATTGATATCATTTGACTTCAGTGTTTGTTTCTCTGACAGAATTCATTGCAGAACATTTAAAGTTATGACATTTGTCATTTGGTGAAGTCCATCTAGACTATAGTACATGTATAGGGCATACTAGTACAAAATCATACTCTTAACTTAGAAAGTAGAAATTCCCTGTACTGAAAATGCACCAGTCTGCTAATTGTTCTTACTGAGAATGTTACTACATGTAACTGTACTGTTATATGTACATTCTTCAATGTCATTAACATTATTTGTTACAATAATTGCTTCTCTTACTTTGCTGCCATGAAATTTCCATAATGTTACATTGAATTTTTCAGACGTGTGTAGATTTCTGCCATATACAAACACATACCATTGGTTCATTGGTATTAAATTGGAATTATATACAAATTCAACAGGGATCACAGTGTCCTCTAAAATGTATTCAGTATTAGACCTGCATTTTTGTACTGTACAAAACTACTTTATCAAAATTGTCTTTAGTTGTGTTGCCTTTCCTAAAACATGTTTGGGTAAGTTTTACAAATTCTCTTAGACTAGTAAAGGTACAATTCGAGTGAAAGTTGTAGAAAAGGCACTACCTTCCATTGTCTTTGGACACAAAATTTCAAGCTTGGAGGGGTGACAAAACAGTATGATAATGTTTTACCACTTAAAGTTATTTTTTGACATTGTACAATTCCTTGGCTTAATACATGTAAGTACATAGAAACAGGTCTGGCCAGCCCACATTAATTTTACATTTGTTACAGAATAGTAGATAAATTTGTATGCATCACTGTATTTTAGTTACTGTAGGCATATAATTTCACTGTTCATTAAATACTGTCACAAGAAAACATTTGATGATCCAAATCTCTCTTACTTAAAAACAGTCACTGACATAATAAAAATAGACACTGACAAAATAAATACTGAGGAAATCTATGCTGACTGCCTGCAGCCTCTATACATTGTAGATATAAGTTAAGAAGGTAATTAGAAACCTTTTCATAGGATACAACATTCACCTTAGAGACACTGGTCTCTTATAAAACTGTTAACATATAATATTATGATACTGACATACATGTAAAACAGAATTGAAGACTACAACAAGAAGTAATTAATCAGAATTCTTGGTGAACAAACATTTACTCTGTATGACATTGGCCAGAGATAATATGAAGTCCTACAATACATGATATATGACATCAAGGTCTAAGTCAAATTAAATTTCTTGTTACAGAAAATTAGTGAGTTTGACAAGTACATGTAGAAGAAAGGTAGTTTGTGTATATGTTTGAAGTCTTCAGGAAGGGCTTTTCTTTCAGTCTTGTTACTATAGCTAGTAGTCTGATTTGATGTGCAGTAGGCCAGCAAAACCTGGCCTCTTCTTCAGTTGCTGGAAAGGAGAAAAATTAATGATTATTTTTAAATCAGGTGTTTCATTTGTACCTCCACCGTACATATAATCCCGACATCTTACATTTCTCATCAATTTGCATAGAAATATAAAATTAAGAAATTAGTGCAAACAATATTCTATTAACCCCCAAAACATCAGCCAAACTTTCCATTAACATGTATCATGTAAATCATACACCTAGATACATTTATGCAAGCCTATAAATGATAGTAGTCTCTGTAATTTGTGATTATGGATAAACTAGTGTTGAAGAAAAACCTAATATACTGTGATTGAAACTTGTACATTTATTTTTGTACAAACATTTCTGACTCAATAGAGCAGGACATCAGAAAAGGAAAATGGCCCCATTGTGTATAAAGGAATGAACTTCAGCAATGTTGATACCTTCAACTTGACAACAACATCTTTATACAGCTCCTGTATATCTTCATTCTCCACATCTTCAAAATAGTCGGAGATGCTGATGTGGACGTTGATGGCCCTCAGGTTAGGACAGCTACCTGTCAATCAAACCCATCAATGGTTAATGTATGACTGGGTGGAGCTAGCTGTGTATATAGAAACAAGAATGTATGTAATGCTAAATCGTAAAAGAGAGCTTGGCTGTGTAAATCATAGGCATTGATGTGGCTGCCATGATGACAATTTATCCATTTCTCCTCACTCCAACTCTAAATGCTGCTGCTGAATACTCACTGTTGAAGTGGAGACCTTACTTCTAGAAGACTAAAGCTAACTGTAGACTGGACTCCAGGCTGATGCTGCTGTTGACTTACTGTTGAAGTGGAGACCTTACTTCTAGCAGACTAAAGCTAACTGTAGACTGGATTCAAGGCTGATGCTGCTGTTGACTTACTGTTGAAGTGCAGACCTTTCTATTATTTCCAGCAGACTAAAGCTACCTGGAGACTAGATTGCTGCTGACTTACTGTTGAAGTGCATGAGAGCCTGAGGTGAGACAGGAGTGAAGCTGAACTCCAGCACACGGAGTCCCTTCAGACCGCTCCGACACATCTCCACTGCAAATGCCTCTGTGATCTCCAGCATGTGGTCTAACTCCAGGACTTGTAATCTTGGGCAGTTACCGGCTGTAGGGACAACATAGAACAGATACTTCTTACCTTGTCATAGAATGAGTGAAAATCAGGCATTTTCATGCAGCTTCAGTTGATTCTTGTTTTTGATAACTTTTAATTTAAGGCAAGGGTTGTAGTATAAGAGATTACTAAACCAGTACATTACAGTAGAAATAACAGGAATAGAGGAATTTTATACAAGACAATGATATAACACAAAGTGAAAGGCAGATATGTAGTAAATTAAAAATGGATCAATGCTACAAATTTTGAGATATTTGAACTACTATAGGCTATGTCTACTATACATTGTACATCTCATAAGTGTTATTTGTACACCAATGATTTAGCACTTTAAAACTCTTAAACTTTGGTTAATCAGATGGATGTTTTTGACTGACCAATGGTGGACAGTCCCTTCCCAGTGATGCCCACCCCTCCCACTGTGAGCTGCTGCATCATGGGCCAGCACTGACCAATCATCTGTAGGCACCTGTCATTAAATCTCTGGGGCTGCTGACTGTAAGGTAAGGTAAGAACAAACATGACATAAAATGCCTTACTGGGTTGGAGACTAATGAAGTTGTAGACAGTCTGTGTCTAATGATAATCATGCTTTTAACTACAAGAACTTGATTCTTACCAAGTCATCTACATAACTCAGGAGGAAAAGGTGCAGAGAGACTAACTACTGACATTTTCTACAGTCAAGTTAACCTTAATATACTCCTTTCAAAAAGTTTGCTTCAAATTGTGTAATAACTAAACACATGCCTCTGAAGTTAATACCTACATTTTTCTGCAACCCCTTGATAGGCAGAGCGGAGGAACGGAGCGGAGACACAGCGTTCATGGATGGATTCCAGGCTATTGATAACCAACACCCATTGTAAATTGTGTAAAAATTAAGACGTACCAAGGGAACATGGGAGCCAGGCTGAGCGCTGTGATCTCCCTACAGCCTGCACCCAGGGCCCAGATGACCTCCTGACCTACAGGGTCTGACTCACTCTTGTACATCACATCCCTCAGTAGTCGGGAATGGCAGCTGGCCAACCACAGCGCTCTATCACAACACCACAACAACTTGATAAAGGTCAGACATCCAGGTAGAATATTATGTAATGCATCAAAAATCAAGCAACTGGATAAATTCTCTGAGGGGTCAGAGGTTTCAGAAAGCATCAGTGACTGAGAATGAGCCTGAAGACAACGTTAACCTGTTGCTTGATTAATTTTGTTTTACATATCAATAAATGAATCACTGAAAGATATTGGTATAAAATTGGAGCCAAGGCATGGGTTAATGCATTTTTGGACAAGTATGGCCAGTTGATACAGTATGCATCATCAGAGTGCACAGACCTGTCTGTGAGGATATTTCCACAGTTGCTGATCCTGAGGCTGAGTAGGTTCTGTTTGGTGGCTGACAGGAGCCGTTCTAGACCTGGCTCTAAACTCCCCCTGTAAGGTAAAGTACAAATGTACATGTTAGCACTTATGCGGCCATGAAATACACCCACTGACTAGTTAGACAGAAGGAGGCCAATGATGGTGAAATAGACGAATGGGAAAGTGTAAAAAAAGTTGGTAGACAGTTGGTAGCAAGCTTGACTTGGATGTTTAAATTAAACATGGTCCAGTACCTGGTTTTGTGGAAGTAGTCCTTCTTGTTTTCCCCTTCTCTCCTCTTCCTGGGCCTCAGGTTCTGCAGTGATAGCACCTGTAGCTCAGTGCACCACCTAGCAATAGTCTGCAGGAACTGCAGGACAACAACAGAGTTAGAAGTCAATCATTACAATTCAGGATTCAAGGTGTGCACATGATTTTTTAACAAACTTTTCAGGTGCAAATTTTGAGCCCCAACAGTAATCAAGTAACACAAAATATTCTTTTTGAAAGGTAGCCTCATACAAACCTTGGATCCTACCCTGGCTCTCTCCAAGTGAACATGTCTCCAGAGTGCAGGCTGTCGACTGAGTAGAGTCCACTCCCGGCACACCATGGAACAGGCACAGAGGCTCTTTGTGTCCAAGTAGCAGAAGGCCAGGGACAGGGCATCCTGTCTGTGCCGGGCCAGCTCAGCCTGCTGTCTCTTCCTGCTCCGCTTCCGACTGCTCCTCCTGCTCACAAACACATCATCCTCATCAAACGCTGATTCTGTGGTTACCGTGGTAATGGAACCTGTTTCTGTCAGAGTTTCGTCATCAAAACTGCCACCAAATCTCTCCAGGGATGGTCTCTTGCTGCGGTTCTGAGGGTATCCCCCCGGAGTTTGTGAAGGTCCAGGAATTGCACTTGGATGATACTGCTGCTGCTGTAGGCTCCTGTTACTTCTCTGCTGTGGGTTGTTGACATGGTTTCTCACCTCCTGTCTACTGGGGTCATAGTTGTCACTGTTCTCATGGAAACTGTTGTCATGGAAACTGTCTTCAAAGTAACTGTCCTCATCTGTGAACTGTGACCTCCTGACAACATTGGGTGTGGACTGTGGCGAGGGGAACCCACTGCTGTTGCCATAGTAACTGTTCCCATAGGGATTCCTTCTTGCCATATTAGGGGTGACATTTGGACTCATTCCATTGCCATGGTAACCACTGGGACTGTTCTGCTGCATTCTTCTGGCAGTTGAAGGTGTGGCAGCAGGTGTGGTCAGGTTGCTATGGTAACCTGAATGGGGTGTCTGTCTCCTCCCGGTGGGGGGTGTGGTTATGGGATATGCCATGCCATTGGTCGGATATCCGTTGTTATCATTTGAATACGACGCCATCCTCCTGTGGGTGGTCGGGGTTCCATCTGGAACTCCGTTCCTGTTACCGTGATGGAAACCATTTTCACTAGCCATCCTCCTCCTCCCCGTGGATGGTGATGACATGGGATAGCTGTTTCCGAGATAACCATTGTCTAACGTTCGTGACCTCCTCTGGTTGTTGGGGGTGCTGTCAGGAAAAATCACACCCTGAGCCTGCAGGTCGTCTATTTCCTCTGGGGACAGGGCCCTGCTGTACGGGACATCCATGCCATGACCTTGGGGATGCTGAAGGTCACTGTCATGGTAATACTGTGGTGCGGGAGGGCTGACCGTTGCATACGTCCCGCTCTGTGATGACCCGTTGGCGCTGTCCCCCAGCCCAGAGTCGTTGGAGCCGCGGGGAGAGGTGGAGGGCTGGTTGGGGGAGCCCTTCCCCGGACTGCTGTGTAAAACACGGGCCTGTTTCACCAGGTCTGACAGGCCGCCATTCAACTGGACTGGGTCTACACTGCTAGCCCTATAGTATAGGAAGATATATGTGCAAAGTTTAACATTAAGCAAGACAAAAGATAGTACCCTTGGCAACTGCACCAATTATAAGCCTAGTGGGTACAATACATGCTTTGCATGCAATAAGTCATGTCAACCACCTGTTAACACTTTTCAATTTATAGTGACTATAATTTATAATTTTATCTGTGCTTGCACAGCTGTGTAACCTAAAGGCTTAAAATGTTCTATATACCATAATATAATGAAGTTAACTTCTTGTAAGTTCCTGTAACTTTGGCATGCTATATTGCAGTACCAGTCACATTTAACAGGTGGCTTCCATACAGAGGAAGAGCAAGCTGCCTGTACCTTTGGTGCTGACTGATGCTGGGTCTCCTGCTGGTGTCCATGTCAGACGGATGCTGGATGCTGCAGGCACTGGCAGAACGCTGCAGCACACCCAGGGGAGCCGACAGACGCGCCTGGGGGAAGTGTGAGGAGTAGGAATGAAGTAAAGCTGCTGAAATCTCACAGCTATCATGTACCGTATATATATCCCAATTCCAGTCTCTACATGCTTCTACAGTAACAGCTCTTCTTTTCAAAGACGGCAAAATTATAGAACTCTCTCCCTGACATTTCATTTACAACCCTTCAAAACCAACATTCACTGCCATCTCCAAGCATAGTTACCAACATGTCACCAACTTAGTTCAGTGCCCAGAAGTGGTCTTTTGGCCTTACATTGAGAAATCTCACCTGTCTCTTCTTGCACTTGGTACAGAGGGAGGTTGTGCAGCTGACGGCAGAGTTGAGACTGTTGAGGGAAGACTGGCTGCGGTAGAACTCCACCTCCTTCTCCGCCCGCTCTGTCCGACTGGTCAGAGCCTCGATGAAGTTCTTCAGCTTCTCCTTAGCCTCCGTCTCCTGCCGGGTCGCTGTCTGGATAAAATCCTCCATCTGATCAGTGGACCTGCAGGAGTGACAGGAAGATGTTACAGTTAGTGGTTTATAAGCTTGAAGGTTTATCTGTGTTGGTAGAATTCATTCATGTTGGAACTGTAACTATCAACACAAAGATATTGGACATACCCAAACTTTCCTCTGTTCAACTCCAGTCTTTGTCAAGGAATGAGCAATTTCTTTGTGTTGGAAAATTTTGTTTTACTGTCCCTTCTCTAATAATAGATTTCTTTTGTAACACATGAAAACTAAGTTGGTAAGTCAGGTACTTTCTGCAATGCCTAAAAGATCAAAATATGAAATGCCCAATCTTGGTTAGAATATTAGTAATTATAAAGTCAACACATGTGGATAATGTGTAATATATGATGAAGTACTCCTTCATAATTCAATATCACTGACTTGACTGTAACAGGCAGATACATGTATATAGGAAGATGAAAAGTTATTATTTCGTTCATGCAGTAATGACCAACAGATAGATGTATGAATGTCTGGATTGCGAGACATCTTCTCATTTGTTTATACCACCACAGTACTGACAGTTCTACATAAAAGCTGACATTATCATTGTACTATAGAAAGATCAGGAAGAATCCATAGCATGTAATGTTGCATGCATGTGTGGTCACTTGTCTCAAGGCTGAGCCCACATACAGGAGTGAGTAATGCTGATCTCTCTCAAGGATGCAGACAGTCAAGGCTGCCTGATCGATGACACACACAATAGCAGACTGACTCAGGGGTGTTACAGAATATTACTACACATTCACAAGGACATGCATATATTGAAAAAAAAGGTAACAGCTGGAGATAAAATCATTATATCATAGTGTAGTATTTGTGTCACAAAATATTGAAAGCAAAAAGAACAGTAAGATTTTTTACATGTACATATATGCATACTCAGATGTCTATCATAACGACATGCATGTAAGTACATTGTAAAACCCTTTCCATCCATAGCATCATAAAAAAATATTCATATATATATATATATATATATCACCTTAATTATGCTAATCCTTTGAAATTTCAATAAACATTTTCTTCTCTACTTATACTTTGCAGGAAGATTGCTTAAACAATTATATAGAGTTGGGGACAAAAATAACTGTAAGCCTCATTGAGTTTGTCACATCAAATCATCGCATGACCCTGAAATCAGGGTCACAATACCACCATAATCCTGTACATAGGGGTAATAAATATCTACTCACACTGTCTGACCTTTTATATGGGGATTTGAGGCTTATGACTGTTGTAAAGAATATGTCAACAGAAAATATGAGACCCGTAAATACATGTTAATAGGTTTATTTTACGTGCTTTCCACTATCCTGCATTATCATAATTTATGGAATAATAAATCAATCTAAAATACAAGTGAACTTTACGTATATGTAAAGGATTTGTAAAATTGATTATTGCTATGCAGCAGAAGGAAATCGGGATGGTACCCAGGCTACAGCCTCATGAGGACACCACATGTGTGTCCCTGAAGGTTTAGATTCCCTGCTGAGAGGTTCTCCTCCCTCCAAATTTCAGGTCAGGTCCCAGCTCCACCATCACTAAGATACCAGGAGATTCCAGACATACATGACCTCCCACTGCTGTGTTTGCCTTGCTAAGTACCTTGGAAACCACAGATAGCACCCTCACCAGGCCTGCTGGCCATTTAAGGTCTCATTCATGTATTACTCCGAGTGTACCCCCTAAAAGAGTACCAAGTCAAAAACTAAACGGCTGTATGAACGCGTGTTTTTATTGGTGAGAATTTTCCCTTTAGCCATCCCAACTGATGTAAAACGTCAAAGCGGTGAAAGCTTGTTTGTAACTGATGAAATTAGGACGTAATTGTCGGCAGCCGCGCGCTAGGTCGGACGTGCACAGTCCATTGTTGTGAGTTGTGCGGTCGTAGGTTTGCAGCGCGGGAGGGCCTCTTGCGGACAGTTGCTAAGTGCAGTTTGTGATTCCCATAAAACAGGATTGTGTGTATAGAAGTCGTTGGCAATTTTTTATGAGACGTAGAGTAAGTGTGCTCAACATAGCATGAAAGATATCAATTGATTTAATGTAGGATCATAGGGAACACGGTCTCGTAAGTCACTCATTAATGCATGGTTTCTAATGTATGGAAAAAACTCATGAATGAGACCTTAATTAAATATGAAAAATATTCATTAAAAATCAACGATTAGTGCTAAGGTCCCAATTTTTGAACAATGTTTGCCCAGGATTTAATGTCCGATTTTTCAGTGCAAATTGCATTGCGTAACCACGCCCGTTGCCATGGCAACGGACGAGGCCATTTCTGCGGGGGTTGATTGACGCCGTCCTTTCACCATTCTCCGTTTTACAAAGATTTACAGTCAAATAACGTTTTGAAAAGCTGTCACATTCAAGATACATTTACTAAAGATTATTCCCTGACTATCAGTGTTGTGTAAGGCGTCTGTAAAGCAAGGACTGACAAGCACACGCTTGCAAATTATATAGAAATCGTGTAAACCCAAATTCACGGACAACACATGCAAACATTAGAAGCGTCGATTACGGAACTTAGATGTTCATATGAAATTGTGGATAGAGTTAAGGAACCACAGAACAGGAAAAGATTCAAATAATAAAGGTATGTGCGCTCTGCTTTCAGGAAAAGCGTCAAATACAAGGCAATCCGATGTGCTACGGATCGTTCAAAACCACCTTGCCCGCAGCCTGACTGTGTACCCACCTAAAATCGCATGCCTGACAAGTAGGGTTACCTGATTGCATCCCAAAGTAATTCCCATTACGTCTGATTACCCCGCTGGCCGAAA